TGTTACTATGGCTCTTTAAAAGATCTACAGTTGCTTAAGGCACATGCAAAGAACAGAAGGAATCAATTTCTTAACCTGCCACAACCGTCACAGTGTTTGTTGGAACTACCTTCATCTTCAGCAACGCAGCAAGATTTCAAAAACTATTTTTAAATAAGTTGCTAAACAGTGTCAGAAAACATAATACCCATTTAGATGCTGAAAAAAGCCTAATTGTGTTACTGCACTCCACATGCTTCAGCATCCACTAATTGCAAAACCAAAATGATTGGCAAAGACCAAAGAGAAAAAGTGATATCTCTGGAGACAGTTGCCAAATTCTGTCTCTGTCAATCATGTTCTTAGAATCACCCATTACTTCCTGACCTGACACAGGAGCTCTCAAAAAGTCAAGATGCCTGCTGTCAGTTTATGTGCTCTCTACCGACTGCAACCAGATACCCTCTGCAAACAGAAGGTCAAACAAAGAAGGGCCAACAAACAGGCTAAGGAGCTTGCTGTACAAAACAAGCCTGCCGTAAGTCTACCTCTAGTGTAAACAAGGTACATTTGAGTTTATCTAGTGCAGACAAACTACTTGGAAAGATGTGGATATTTGTTTCCTAAGTTAAAAGCCACAATACTCCTCTAAATACATCACTCCCAGCAAGTATTCAAAACAGTAAAAACATGACCCATCTAACTTCTAATCAGATCATTTTTTATACCCTACCTACAAGTGTTTTAGAGCAGCATTTAAAAAAAACTGTTGCACGTGGACATAAACAGTAATCAGTAGGGATCCACATTTTCTATTTGCTGCAGAAAAACGTGGAAAACTGTGGATTTTCACCTTTAAGGGAGAAAACTGTGGGAAACTGTGGGTTTTCCCTTACAGGCTGGCAGCATTGTAGCCTGCAAGGAACTGCTTGGGGCTGGGGGGGGAGAAGGAGGATGACTGGAGGCAGTGGCGCCATGTGCATGTGCACACACACATAGCCAGCATACAGCCAGGCAGGGTGGTGGGAAGAGACCTGACAGCTGGAGACAGGTAAGTCTAGGGTAGAGGGAAGGCACTGAAGGGCCAGGCTTGGGAACTATCTGGTCAGGGGTGTAGGGGAAGGGGTGTAGGGGAAGGGGCGAGCGGGTGCCTGCTGGTGCTAAGGTGCTAAGTCCAGGCCCTGGGGCTGCAGTGGGGCAGGGGGGACTGAGGCAGTGCTTGGTGCCACCGGCAAGCCCAGTTCGAGCAAGGGATGGGGCGGGGAGGAGAATCCTTCAGGGCATGGTGGGGGGGGACCACACACTGCCCTGCGCTGCCAGCTGTGACTCCGGTGAAGTGGGGAAGACCAGCGTAGCAGCATGAAGCCAAGCATGGCTCTGGCCAAGGCCATGCTGCAGGCAGCTAAAGAAGGATGAGGGGCTCCAGGCAATCTCCATCCTGCCTGCAGCAGCTGCTGCAGATTCCACTTATGTAGGCAGCAGCGGAGCGAGTCCAGCCCCAACATGGGTTGGAGGGAAGAGGAAGGGATGCCTGTAGCACACCCCGCCTCAGGTTGGAGCTCTTGTGCCACGCCAGGAGGCCTGGCCATGACCCCTCCCTCTCCCAGGCAGCGTCTCCCAGCAGCATGTGGCCGCCCCTGCCCCTAAGAGCACGGGCACCAGTCCCCAGTGGCTCAGCCATGAAGCTCCCCAGTGCCTGCAAAGGACCCACACCCTCTTCCCTTGCTGGAGTCCCATGAATCCACATGGGGCTGGGCAGGGCTGGGGGGTCAGGGGTCTGTTGGCTGGGAGTGAGGGGCACCAGCAGGGACAGAGGGCTGCAGGTCAGGAGTGAGGGGCATGGGCATGGCTGAGGGGCAGGGGGCTGTGGGTCAGGAGTGAGAGGCACTGGCAGGGCGGGGAGGCTGTGACTTGGGAGTGAGGGGCAGGGGCAGGACACTGGCATTTCAGGGCTGCTCAGCACCACAAAAGCACTGCGGGGAGGGGGGCGGTGCGCCGCGGCAGCTAGGCCCACATCCTGGCGAGTGAAGGGGGCAGGGGGAGCTCTGATTTTCTATGATAAAAAGAAAAACAAATGCTAAAATCTACAGATATTTAGAACTGATTTTATTATAGTGATTGAGGCACTGGTAGGCTTCCAAATTGCTTTAAAAATTGTAAATAAAACATTTTGTTAATCTGACCACCCCCCCCAGTGGCATTTCTTTTCAATTGTGGAAAAATATGGATTTGGAGGGTTTTAATCAGAGAATCTGGGATTTTTAAACAGAGAAAACCAGGATCCCTGGTAATCTATTACATATTCATACTCATGGGCAGAAACTGTTCCATTTATTGACATGGATATCCGTTTCTACTAGAATGGTAAAAAAAAAAAAAAAAAGTGTTCACCACAACTACATCTGTACCGGCTGGAACACTCAAAGCCAAACATTACTAAACCTGGTATGATTCTATTCCTTTTTTTGTACTTGTTCTTCCCTACAAAACTCCTGTTCCCTATTGTAAATTCTTCAATTATTTTGGTTTACTAACTAAATTAAAGCCTAATTTTCCTATACCTAATTGTGCCTTTAAATCATTTTAGAAACGTCATGAATAATTAAAATAGCTTAAACTCCAATCTGAGTAATATAACACATTTAAAAACATTAACAACAGAAACGAGCAATAATTCACTTTTAATATTCAGACATAACTATCAGACTATTCATTAGCATGCACTTCCACTGGAATTCTCCGCATGTTTTTTCAAATGTCAGTTTTGCTTCTTATCATGTGCACTGTAGTTTAATTTCTTTGGGTTACCATTTAAGGATCATAACTGTAATCAGACTGCATGTAGCAGTTCCCTTTGATATATGAAGGAATGGCAAGCAAGACAGGTAAAGATTATAGACTGTATTATAGGAAGTGACAGCTGGGTACATGGCATAAAAAGCATCTCTTTTGCAGTAGATAATAGGATCATTTAAGGGCAACGAAGGCCCAGGAAGCGTCATCTTGATAGGGCAGGATTTCCTCATAGCTAGGAAATCCCTGATGATATTGGTCAAGAACTTCCCAGCACAGGAACTAAATAGATGAAAAGAAACAAAGAGCAAAAGCAAATGGAGCTACTAACTCCTGAAAAAAAACACAGTTATTCAAAATATGCATAGGTCTAAAATAGTTATTGACAAAGTACCAGTTAACCCTTCAAGTCAAGACACATCTGGAAGCATGATGAGATTGTAGCTCCGGCACAAAACATTCAAGAGATATTCCACAGGCAGTTATCTACTGCCATGGGAGAAAAAACAAGAGCACCCTTCGAAGTGTTTTTTATATTATGAAAAGGCATACTTCTCTCCATTGTTCAAGCTGAAGGAAGCCTCTTAAAGGATCAACTTTCACCCTCTAATGAAAGTTGTTCCTATTCTGCTCTGCAGAGATTTAAGAAAGGTATCAGGTGCTAAAATTCACTATCACTAACTATCAATTCATTTTGAAAATAGTCTTCCAGTTTTTTCAGACCTTCATTATGGAAATGCAAAGCCAGAGCTATCCTAGGACAGTTGATTACTGATGGCAAATTCATTTCTTAACCAGTTTATATTCTGTAATTGTTGAAGCTGCTACTGTGAAAGTCAATGGAGGACAAGATTTTAATCATCTTCACCTCTCTCCATTCTACTGACCTTTCAAACTAAAAAAAAACCCCAAAACCACTGATTAATTTTCAGAGGCATGGTTTACCCACTAGGAAGACAGCATAAACAGAAAAAGGTTTATATTATGTCATGATATAATCAGAAAAAGTTTACTATCGCAATATTTTAAACTATATGACACTTGACATTACATTGTTAGCAATTAAGAACCATTTGGCCTTATTCTTATTTCTCCTCTCTGCAAGTACTGCCAGAGGGAAAGTAGAGGCTGCTCCTTGTATACAAGGCATTGGGCAAGGATATGCACTTCACCCTAGGCTAAAGTGCCCCAATAGTGAAAACTTTTCCATCAAGGAAGGGGTGAACCACAGCTCATCAATTACTCCAGATACCTGCATTTTATTAGTGATTCTCTCTCTCATGGCCATGGCCCAACTCATGGCCTAACTAGTGGTACTCATCTCAGTCTTGAATCAAATTCAAAATTATGTCTTCACTACTAAATTAAATCAAACTAGCTATAAAGAGAATGCTGTAAAACCTTGTTTACAGCAAGTTGTTCTTAAAGTGCTAAGAAAAAAAGTTATAACAAATGTGACTAAATCACTTTATTCATATCAAAATATTTTTCTACTGGCAACTCAATTTAAACATTACCAAAACAGGATACAAACTGGTTCAAGATTTGAGTGTGCTCCCATGAATTTCACTACTGCAAGGACTCTTCCAGAAATACAACCACATATGGGAGCAACTCCAATTAGTCTGCTTAAAAGCTTATTTCCAAATAATACATGATGAGAAACTTCACTCTTGTAACAGTTTCAAAATATTATGTTAAGCACGAGGAATAAAACATTCAGTGGAGAAATACAACAATAACATAGTAATGACTCATATAAGTTTCTTCACATTTTGGTTCCCTCACTGATAACCTGAACAGAAATTTAAATAGAAATGTAAGCAGAGGATTATATAGCTGAATGCTGTCATTACCTAGAAATTTGCCACTGACTACGGGCTCATCAATATCAAAGACAGCTGCACTTCTTTTATATTAATTTATTAAAATAGATACATGTGAACTTGCATAAAAAGCAGTTGAAACCCTTTATTTTGCCTGGTCTTAAACCTGATCTTCATAAAGTAACACTTAAATAAGCCATCCTTAAAGCAAATGTAAGGATTTTTCCAACTCTTCATATCTTAGAACCACTTTTTCATTTTTTTTTAATAACATTGCTACACTCCATTACAGAACGCAGGACTTTATTAAAGTTATGGCTTTTCTGTGGATCGGGAAGCCTTAGACCTTTATAGGCTTGCTATATTTTCTAACATTCTAGTAGTAACAGATAAGCAATTTACCTGAATAGAAAGTGTTAATTTTGGCAAGTTCTTTCTCACAGGTTTGGAAGAACTTCTCTTCAAACTTGGCAAAATACCTCTTCACCGTGTCTTCATCTGTAACTAAAAGAAAAAAAGAAAACAAAAAACACAGGTTATTACAGAAAAAAAAAGAGAGTGACATGAAATTGCATTCCAGTGTATATCTTAGCTTTTGCAAGTGGCTCACAGTCAAAGGTCTGTTCTGAACTACATAACACCTCAAGCTAGGGTGATTAAGACCTGCCAGTTTTGGAGGCCAATGGCATGCAAGAGAATGAAGTGTTAGCCTCATATCTAGCCACCTCTGGGCTTTCCCAGTCTGAATGACCAGTGTTAACTGGGGACAACCTTTGGTGCAGTCTGGAGAGAGGCTAGAACTGACACTTCTGGATCTTTAGCAAGATACCATAACCATTACCACAAAAGTCACCCTCCCCTCTAATTAGCAGACTATCTGGCTTAAAAAAAGGAAGAAAAAAAAAAGAAAGAAAAAAGGCCAAACTCCTTAAGGGCAGACCAACCTCAGTTGACTGAATAGTTGCCATTCTGTCATTCCAAGTCTTTTGTTCCAAACATGTATTTCATGCTTGGCTCCTGGGAGGGCCACACACCTTTGGCACTTTCACCATTTGTTTTTAATATTTGCATGATAAAGTTTTTAAAAAGTCAAAAGTCTTTTTGACTGAAGTTTTCCAGTATCGAAGATACAGGAAAAAGGAAATCCAAGGGAGTAGTTGTTGCACTTGGTGCTACTGTGGCATATGTCCAAATTAATTTCACTTGTTCATCCCCTCCACCTCTGCTATATGTCTCATGCACTCTCATTCCTGATCTCTGAACCAATTTTCTGTCAGTGACATGCCGGGTGACAAGACTGCTCTTTTTCCCTTGGGAACATAAACAGAACCTCATGTCAAGCCATCCAAAGAAACAAATAAAGGACTGGTTAGAGCTAGGCTGCTACGAGTTTGGTTTATAAATGTATTCCAAATCAGAATGAAGCATAAGACATTGTTACTGATCCCTTTGCAGATAAGGTAAAAACTGCAGAGAAACAGGGCTCTAAAATAGTTAAAAGGACAATATTTCCAGTCTTTCCACTAAATCCTTCCTCCCTTTTTTGTGGAGTCTAACAGTCATTTCAGCGTGTGTCATGTTGAAATTGATAAACAAATCCTCAGCCCAGAAAAATATCACTTAAAAGAACAACTCAACATTTACAACGTTTATGCTAAATCTGCAAGCCAACAACTTATGTTTAAAACAGCAGTGCCAGACTCCTGCAGAGAGGGTCAAATGAAATCTTTTACAAGGCACTGGGGGTTGCAGCATGCCTGCCTTCCATGCTACTCAGAGGTTTCTGCTTCTTTCATATTCTTCCCAATTCCTTAGGGTTTATTTGTTTCTATAAAAAATTGAAAGTAACACAGAAAAAAGTATACTGTCTAGGGCAGCGATGTTCAATCTTTTGGCCCCTTGAGCTTGGATCGGGCTTTGTGTGTTGGGACTGGGCCCTGTGCCACCCTATCCAGCCTGCAGTGCCACCATTTGCTCACTGCCAAGTTTTCAGACCCATGAAGATCCACAGACTGGATACCACAGTGCTGGGAACTGGCTCTGGCCTGTGGGTTGAGCATCCCTGGTCTAGTGTTCTGTATATTCCCCACACTCTGCTCAGTTTTCTTCTTACACTCTTGCTATTATGACACTTCTCTCTTTGAGCACTTGTAAACATGCTCCAGGGGTGGGCAGGGGAAGGGGAGGGTGTTTTAATTAGAGTGGCTCCAAGAGCCACTCTAAAGCACCACAGCATCTTGTGCATCAGCATCCCTGTGCTTTAAAATGGTGGTGGGGGTGCTGAAACTAAAGCTTATTCAATGAGCTTTAGTTCAAGTGCACCTGCCGCCATTTTTAAGTTCAGGGAGACCAATACATGATATGCAGGAGGCTGCTGAAGCATGGTCGGAGCAGCCTTCCCACTTGTGCGCAGCACCCTTTATGTTTCCCATCTGCTCCTCTACATTGTCCAGATTTTCCCTATCCTCCCCCGATCTGCTCCTCTGGCTTGAGCTGTCCAGTACTCTTCTAAAACTAAAATGGAAGACTGCTCAGACAGGCCAAGGAGCCAAGCAAAGACCTCAGCTTCACTTCGGAGTTTCCTTCTGAATAGCAGTTCAGAAGCACATTTCTAAACATCACCAGTCAAGTGCTTTACTATCTAGTGAAAAGATCTCCATGGCATGGTAACAACAATATATCACAACAAAAGAGCCGTTCCAAAGACTTGCTTATTAAATCTCTTTATGATTTGGACTGCTGTACAGTGATGACAAAGGAATGGTTATACATCATCTCAACCGTCCCGAGGTTTAAAAAAAACCCAAAAAAGATTGAAACAAGCCTGCATGGAAAGTTAACTGAAGAAAGTGTAAAGCATACTCCATCTTTCTCCTTCTACTTTAAAATTAAATAAAAAAGCTATCCAAGAATCAAAGTTAAAAAGGGAGTCTCTATCTCGAGTTAGATCAACCAAAAAACAATGAACCAGCGGTTCTCAAACTCTGACAGATTGTGCACCACCAATTTAAAATGATACAACCTTAATTAAATACCACCAGCATATTTTCCAGTTCAACCTGAAGTACCACTAGCAAATTTTTGGCATATCAAGTAATTATAATAAATCTGTTAATGTGTGCCACCGACAAGTTGTCTATGTACCACTGGTGGTACCCATACCACAGATTGGGAATCACTGAACTAGAAGGTCAAAATCACTGGCCAAAGTGTCATTTATCACTGGTCCTGAGACTGTTTCAACTTTTATAAAAACATTGCACACAATTCCATAATTAAATCCAAGTTGTGGACTTAAAAGCAAGAATTTGGTCGCTTTTTTTTTTTTTTTTTTTGAACACGTGGAAGTATATGCCCCTCTGAAATTACAGCACTTTTAAACTCTGTATGGATTTTCTGATAATTAAACAAATTGATTAGTTAATGAGCTAAAATTAAAGGTCCACATTTTAATTAAGAAATGTATTATTGTTTTGTTCCAAATGTTCTTAATAATGGAATAAAGTAGATTATTGAAGTTGTCCAAGCAGTTAAAACTCACTCTCATATATTAAAAAAAACCCTAACAGAAACAAGTATATTAAAGTACAGCAATGCAAAGTTAGTATTTCTATGAAGAAGAAAGTTCTAATATGTCTTTAAAAAGAAAAATTTAGAACTAACACACATTAGGCACTAATCATAAATGTACATATATTGAATTGTATCATTTCAAAGAGAAGGTAGTGTGTTGTGGAGCCTTAACATAATGCATTTCCATATTTTATTTGGTTTGATTTTTTAAAATTTACCCTTAATACCTAAATAAGCAATATTATTCTGCATTAAGCAAAAGGGGGAAAAAAGTACATCTCATGTCTTAAGTTCTTTAGGGTTTGTTTACATAAATTCAAAGAGAAAGAAACCATGAAGGTGTGCATTAATGAACATGATTTATGAATCTTTTAAAAATGTAAATGCCATATTTACCTGAATCCAAGATTACTTTATATTTAAGATGACACAGCAAATTATATTCTAGACATGGAAAATTTATAAATTTGTTATAGTTTTCCATGTATAGAATCTATTGGAGGGTCATCTTAAATTCCAAACCCCCCACAACTGCAGCAGGGCAAGTAGTGGCAGGGGCAGACAACAGGGGAAATCAAGTGCCTTTTGCCGTCCCATACTTTGCCCCCCGCCACCTGTTCCCCCTCTCCCACCCACATGCCCCCTCCCATCTCCCTGGCTTTGTCACTGCTAATAAGGGATTAGTCCCCTCACCCTCTGCTTAATCTGATAGCAGACCACATGCTGGCTACAGTTCTGCTGTGGGAAATGACAAATGCAGACAGGCTTTTTGGAGTTAATCAACAGGTAGCTGGTAATGTCCTTCCTTGGAAAAGCTGTTTAAGAAGAGCTTGAACTGATGGAGAAAGGCTTTGTTTTCTTAATGGGGTGATAAACACTGAGTTATAGGTGGTAAACATTCCCTGCTGAGCTGCTGGGTGGTGAAACATCAAAGCATCCTACCGGAGTCTGGCCATGCCCCCCCTCAGCACAGCACTGTAGAAAAGAGGGAGGGTTGCTCCAGTGCCCCCCAGCTTCTACCCTGAGTCACTTCAGGCATGTGCCTGAATTTTCTCAGTCCAGAAGGGATGTCTGTGGCTAGGGACAGACATTTAAAAAGCCTAATCTTAAATTGATTCAATCTTTGCAGGTTAGTCTAACCTGGCTAGGCTAAATCAGTTTGTAGCCAGATGGACATCCCAGAAATGCCGGCACATGCCTGCAGTGGTTCAGTCTAGAAGCTGGGGGGGCGCTAGAGTAGCCCTCCCTTCCTTTCACAGCATGGAGCTGAGTGGGGCATGACAGGAGATCTGATTAGCCCAGCAGGAAATGGATAATAGTGTTTATCCCCCAAATAAGAAAACAGAGGGACATTACCATCTACTTGTTGATTCTGCCTGTTGATTCAGCACATACCATATTAGCTAGCAGCATGTGGTCTGCTAGCTAATACAGAGACACCTCCTCAGCAACGCAGAGAGGAGGGGGGAATTCCTACTGAGCAGAGAGTGGTGAGGGGAGGGGGGAAGCAGCCTGCAGTCTGTGCCGAAGCTGCAGCCAGGTAGCAGAGGGGAGGGGCCAGCCCTGCTGTGGAACAGAGAGCCCCACCCAGCCCAGAGAGCATGCCAGGATGCTGGGGGTATCTGGTTTATCTTAAACAGAAAGGGGTCTGGGACAGACACTGCATAAGCCAGTTTGAGCCAAATCAGTTAAGTCTGATACTACATTCAACCAGGTTTATCTCAAATTGGTTTCAGCCATTCTCAAACTGGTTTATGTGCACTGAACATTTGTTCTGTTACAGATTTTAACCAGTTTCTGATCACTTAAACCACTTTATGTGTAATGTCTGTCCCTAACTTGTATGGTTACAAGCTGGTTTAGCCTAGCCAGGTTGGACTAACCTGCAAAGATTGAATCAAGTCAGGCTCAGGCTTTCTGAATGTCTGTCC